ATTAGTACGGTTCTGAAATAATTTATTGTAGAAAAAAATTTCAATATAAGCACACTCTCACAAAAATCAGATGATACTCTTCAAGAAATCACGATTTTTTTGCTGCCGATCTACTATCCCCTCAAGATGAATTCCTAATTCGTTTAGCCCTTTTTATATGGTATGTAAAGCTGGATTATAACATAATAAAGTTTGATCCCAGCATTTCCGAGTTTCATGAATGGAGCAATAATAAAAAAGTTTTATTTTACAAGCACAAATTATAGAACTATAATACAACTATAATACAAAAATTTCACCAAACTAACATCCATCATCTTTTTTCATGAAACTATAAAAAGTATTTTGAGATCCAACAAATCTACAAATAAGACGTCGGAATCCTATCATCATGATAACATGGCTGTCTAAAACACCACAATAATTAGATGGTTGTTTTATGAGAATTCGAGAATCAATAATACCTGATTTACCTTTTTTTACTTGTCCATGTGAAATTACGTTCATATATTTTGTAACTTGTTCTTCTGCAGATAATAAAATTTCATTTAATGTTGTGCATTTTGGTTCGTTATCACTTTTTGACCAAAACATAAATTTTCTTTCTAGAAGTGTACCTTCATCCTCATTCTCAATATATTTATCAAGAGTAACTAAATCACTTGTACTTGGTGATATATGCCAATTGTTATTCATCGCCTTTATTAAACCTAGAAGATTGATGTACTTTAATTCGATTATTGAGTAATTTATGTCTCCAAAAATAAGATCCACAAATCCAAATCTACCGTCTCCCTTTTGCTTATTGCTATCAATTATTAAACACAATTCTGGAATTCGGTTATCTGGTAATAATAGTTCACTAACTGCTTGCAACACTGCCTCACTCATAGATGATAATGAGGAGCTTGATCGTGATTTAAAAAATGTTATCAGTGCTTCTTTTAAATTGGTTAAATCAGTAGATTTATGATCTTTAGATTTTTCGGTTGAAATAAGATTTGGAATAGTTGTGGAGGTGGATACTTCCTTCGTTTTCTTCGTGACTTTCGTGATTGTGATATCTGTGGTGTCTGTACTTTTCCGTTTTTCTCCTGCTGACTTATTCACATCTGTCCATGTATCACATACTTTCTTAGGCTTTATAGAGATGAAAAACAATTATTAGATAAGTTTCTTTGTTATATTGAGGAAGGTCCAGAGTTAGCAGACCTCAATCAAAAAAAACCTGGATGGCCAGATGCAGAGGACCACACCCCTATTGTGATTCCCGGTGCGTAAGCGGTAGTCACGCATCCAAGTTCAGCTACTTGCGGGATACCCCTTCTTGGTACGTAGGCAATAAGGGCGCAAGAGCCTGGCAAAAAAGCCCCATCCCAAATATATCTCATTTAAGAAATCAAATGAAATATACTAACCTTTTTCAAAAGTACTTGAGAAAAATCACGGAGTTCTTGTGAAATTTGTTGGTTTCTACTTATAAGATTTAACGACTTATAAAATATGACATTTGCCGATCTTTTGTTCGCATATTTAAACACCCAAGCTTCATAATGAGATATTGACCAGGCCTTGTAAACAAAGATTTCAAAATAATTCGTGTAAGGAACTTGCCATTCGTTCATTTCTTTGAGTACTATAATAAAGAAGGAAATCCAATAAATCCACATTACAAAACAGACCAATTACTCAGAACTTATGAGGCTATAACGTACCAGGGGAGAGTTCCAAATTCCTTGTCGCAGGTACTAATTTCCTAACAATTGTGTCATAATCCTTTTGCTTCTGCAAAAATTCGATAAGTTGAGCTGTGTTGTATTTTCGGCTCAGTTCTGCTAAAATACGAGCGTCTTTCTCCTCTATTGCTTTAGTTGAGGCATTAGTTGTCTTATACATGGTTGTAAGGCTCTGCTGGCTAAAAAATTGTAAGTATAAAAAGAGACTGTATTACATTTTTTACCATTTTATAAGAGACGCGTTGAGTCGCGTTCAAAAATTACTCAATAAGACGCAGGTTGGCTGCTGATAGCTTACTCGATAAGACGAAGATAGTCTTAGTAATACCAAACAGTTGATCCCCCGGGTTCGTGCGATGCAAAATTAAAAATTATGCATTTTAAAATTACTAAAAATGCAAAAATATGCAAAAAAAAAATTTTATATAGTAAAAAAGATGAATAGGTAACCATATATAAATTAAAGCAATTTTTGAAGAATTCTTTTTTTTCTTACCAATATTATTTAAATCCAAATCACCCTCCTCAAAAGAAAATTTGAATCCTTTGATAATCACTCTGATGCCGTAACCATTTTGTAAAAAAAAAAAATGCGGATGATTTATCCTTAAATCAGTGATGGGTTTTGGATTTTGGACAAAAGTGCGATGCATGTGTTATGCGAAATTACGAAATTATGCAAGTGCACCATATCTTAATCTATTAATATTATGTAATCCATTAGAGTTGTTAGACGCGTTTGAATTTTGAGCAATATACTGTAGACACCATGTATTTTTTTTTTTACATGAGAAAGGGTAGCGTTATCATTGATGCTTTTTACTATATCTCCAGAGCAACTGATCTATCACACGAATACGAAAAAGAAAAGCGTCGGAGACTTCCTCTGTGGAAGCGTTACCACGGGTGAGTCCTATACTATGTGAGTCAGCAGTGGGAGACGATGTTACCCTAACTTTATCTTTTTTCTACAGTAATGTACAGAGTTACGGACTGAGCCGACTACCACATCACACTTCCGAGGATATTTGGAAAATGATGCGGATCTGTGCCGAGGTGTAAAAAAATTATGGAAGTGATTGTGGTTGTTGAAGGACGGGGTGGTAGTTGTAAGAGAGAT